AACTATAGATCAGACAAGATATATGTGTATATATCGAATAAAGTTATTAGAACAAGGTGAAGAAGTTCGCAACAGGACGAGTCTCGTTTTAACGTCTTCGTGAAGGAAGCGGAAGGAGAAGGAAGAGACTCGCGAGAGAAAGGAGACCTCGATGTTCGCCCGTTCCACAGAGTGTACGAAGCGTATCCAATTTGATGGCATTACAATAACGGGGGTAATGTCTGAGAATAATGAAATTTCCCCCAATCACCACGGTTCGCCTAGAATACGTTCCTTCGTTCCGTTCCTGTCTTTTCCCTCTCTCCCTCTCCCTCTCCCCCTCTCTCTCTCTCTCTCTCTCTCTCCTCTTCTTTCCTTTTTTCCCCTTCTCTCTCCGTCGAACTGAGGTCTTCCATAGTCTACCACACGCACACGAATAGACATGTACAGACGAACCAGAGAAAATGAGTAGAAACGTTTTCGAATCAATCCCGTTCGCGAGTTATTTCGCTCCCCATCGAAGAAGAGTCGAAGGATCCTTGAGTACTTCCGTTCAAGAAATGGATTCTGGTCAAAAGTTTCGGGAACGCGACGACAGTTACAAAAATTCTACGCACTCTCGCAATCCTACAACATTGTGTAACGCGATGAAAATTTGGACCGTAGTGATACATATTTCAAAATTTTACACACTAATTTTAAAAAATTAGTTTCACAAAAACAGAATGTGATTAAATAGTGTATGTTGCGTAAAAGTATATTTGCGTTATTATGTGTATATCGAATGTTGTGATGACAAATGTGTATCTATTTTTTAGAAGATAAAAAAATATATCTAAGATGTACATTATCGCGAAGGTGAGGAATTTTGTAATGTAAAAAATGTAAAGATTTTGTAAATATATATATATATTTCAGATAATAGACAATTTTTGAATTTTATTCATTCTTACACGTGCATTCCGTTGCAATAAAATGCATTCCCTATAATTCACTTTCAAAGGACAAACGATGAAAAACGACGAAATATCGGAAGACTTTGAATTCCGAGAGCGGAATTCCTTTTGACCGCTCGTCGTTTCGCTCGTTCGACGCCTCGTTTCGCCTTAACGTGGGCGCAATAATTCTCGAGCGAACTGTACGTAATGGAATATTACACGGACCATTAAAGAAACGTTAATCTTGCCCACAACAAGTTCAGAAGCGCTCGCAGGATGCTCAAACGCGGCCGGGATTACGCGCTGGCTTTGATCCTCCAACGCCCCGAAGGCGCGCACCAAAGTCCGCAGCCTCCTGTAATTTGTTAAAACGCGAAATTCTGTGACGTCGCTGTTTGTGTCGGCGTCTCGTTACCGCTTAAAAGTCACGCGGCTCTTTTGACGACTAACCGTAAAACATACTTGTTATTTAATATTAAATTGATCGTCTTTTCTGCCACTTTTCATTCAATTTTCTTTTTACATTAATAATTGAAAGAATCGTGATTCCGAGACAGAATAGATTACATTTACAAAAATAATAATTAAAGAAAATGACGTTAATCGACGAAATAGAAAAATTTAGAAAAAAACTTTTTGTCTTTTAAAAAGTTTTATAAATAAAATAATTGATACCAATTTTTCTTCTCATTTCTTTTTCTGCTATTTTTTGTTATATCTATTATTTAAAATAGCCACAAATATCAGTCACAATTTATTAATATTCAACAATAGTTTTGCGCTATATGTTAAACAATTATATTATGAAAGACTTACTTCCATAATGATAAAGCCATGTCGCAACTTTCGCGAATTGTTTCAAACGGATCGCTTCACTCTATCTCTTCCTCGACGTGGATACTAAAATTTTCGGGAAGCGGGAGGTGTGTTACAGAAAAAGCTGCAGATGAACTCTCGACGGCTTTCTTTTACGGGTAAGGGCGAGCCTTTGACATTTTTTTTTCTCGCGTCGATAAGAATGCTCTCTCGGTTCTAGCGTCATCCTTTCTGTCCTCCTTACCCTTCAACCGGAGACTTTCTTTCGTAGCCTTTCTGCGAGGGTGACTCGTGTACACCTCGGCGCTATTACGAAAGCGCGAGGGAGCAAGTCACAGCCAGGAAGGGAAGACGAGACGAGAACGAAGGAGACGCGGCAGCAGACAAGGAGAGATGGCGCAGGGTGACGCGGGAGAGAGAGAATTTAGCGACCCTCTTTCGCTTTTTACCCTAAGCGAGTCGAGAGCCCCTTAGCCACCGTTTATTGGACGCATGCAAATATCCATGGCAACGGCGGTACTGTACCGTATACGGGAAGAACCAACCCCGCCGCACCGTCGAGAACGCCGAACGTGCGCGGGGTGTACAGGAAGATCTTCCAGGTCGAAAGAAGAAAAATAGGAGAGAGAGAGAGAGAGAGAGAGAGAGAGAGAGAGAGAGAGAGAGAGA